AGGTAAGGAAGAACAAGTTTAAAAATAATTTCGTTGCCCCTTTAACACGGATATGTGTGCTACTCCAGATAAAAATATTGACTTTTTGAATGCCGGTAAACTTCCGAACAACCATTTAACCTGTCGGCAAGAACACCTCATATCCGGCGTCCGTCTCTTTTGATGGCGTCAAAGATTCCCTAGAGACCACAATGCCGTCCTTCTTGGTTGAACCCCGTCGACGTCGTGCCTCACCAGTCGGTGAGAAAATCTCATCTTGAAGGGATGATCGGGTCTTGAAGAAGTATGATGCTAAACATATACTCGCTCAATATGGGGCAGTCGAGCAGCAGTCATGTCCCGAGCCAATCGTCCTGTCGTGGCCTGCGTAATCGGATCTTGTTCCATCGGAGCGAAGTCCGAAAGTACTAGGACGGTACGTTCGTCCCACGAAGCGGCCGCCATCCTGGCGGCGCCGAAAACCACTCGCCTTGTCCGTGCACGTACGATACCATAGCAGCTCTGGTCGCCCGACAGTCCCCGGGCTGCAAATCGTCTCACTTTTCAGAAAAAACAGGCACCGTTCCTCCAGAGGTTCTTGCCGTACCGCGATGCCAAGCATCTTATACCACTTTTCAATGAACGAATGGAGATATCAACTAGACTACAAAGGTTGCCGCACGGCGTCGCTAGAAGCACGGTTACCATGGAAACCTCCCAGGCCCAAAATGGAGATCACTATCAGCGCTTCTGACGTCGTGCATCTAGATAATTTTGCGTCGTGTCGCTACTCTGGCAGCTACGCTGCCATATAGAGTGGCTCTAGCAGAACCCAGGATCGTGGATTCACCCCCACCCCTGCCCTTTTCGATGTTGATGAGCATCGTACCGGCATGCGGTCGTGTATCACTACTACGTGGTGCACGTTAAAGACCCTAGGCTAGCAGTCATACTGCACTGGCTAAATTGCTTATCTACAGTAGGTGACAATGTCGCAATGTTCTGGCATGTTCTCCTGCTGTATAAACAACTAACGACCAATTTGTTTGTCAAAATACGGTGTGGAAGAAGAAAGATGAGAAAGAAATTACACAGTTAGTCTGCGCCATTCGTGTATATTGCTTTTCTTCTATCACCTGTTTTAGCTTGAATTTTATCAAGAGCGTTTATCTTGCATCTACGCAGCACAGCAACCCATCAAAATAATTGTAAAAGCCTGTAGGTAATGGTAAATTGCGTTCCTGGTTGCAGATCGCCGTAAAACACATTTGTTTCTGGGATTCACTTTGTAGAATTTGGACGTAGGATTCACGACGGGGGCGACGGTTCATTCAAGGCTCCATCGCCTCAAGCCCGGTTCGCCACGCAGTTCATCGCACAGCCACCTTACCACGTCTTTCGAGAGGCGATAGTGTTCTTGAAAATGAACGTCGTCCATGTCCAACACATTGGCGTGGTTTAAATACCTATGCCGACGGCAAAACACGAACGAAAACGCTGCCATTTTGGACGCTTCTCCCTTATCTCGCGCCCAACTCGCCCAAACTCGCCTAGGTCGGAGCCGGCAAGCTTTTCCCATCCGCGGCGGATTCTGCCACGTCACAATGACGTCACCGCATCTCGCCGCGAGTTCCGAATATGCAACTCTCCGACTGCCTCAAACCCTCCGTTTAACGTCACGATCTAGGGAGTGTCTGCGCGTGTCGTCACGCACGGCGCCGACCAATCGCGGCGGTCGGCGAGTTTGGCGGAGACCTCGCCTCGATCTCGCCGCGCCGAGCTTAGCCCCCCTGTATGTCTTATAGCCTATACATATGTTGGCCCATACTAGCTGGCCCGTAACGTTATTCGCGGCCAAGCCGGTATTTCATGTACCGTGAGCGTCCGGGTGACCGTGTTAGTTTCGTACCGCAGAAATAACAGCTCAAGAAAACCAGCAAAAAAAAGAAAAAAACGTCGGCACCTAACCATGGCAACAACTGCAAGCTATATATATGAAGGTATTCACTGGGTGTCATATTTGAGCGCGTTATTCACAGCGTACATGTTGTGTAGGGCGAACAGTTGTCCCGGCGACGAATTCGCCCGGACAACTGTTTGCCCTACACAACATGAGAAGCGGTGCAAGAGCACCTACTTCGTTAGGACATTATAAGTCACGATTTTCTACTCAGCTCCGTTGCTGCTGTTTTCGCTTCTGCGGACACGACCAGCGCAACTTTCCTCGCTTTACTTCGGTGGCCATCGCGCCAACAACCGACAACACGCAACGACAGAGGGCATAAGAAGTGAGCAGAAATCATGAAAGGCTCTTTTTCCGCCCAGTTCAGTGTTTTCCCGCTAGGTGTCGCCCGCTTCGCTAGAGTCGCACCTAGTTTGATGCTAAAGGAGAAACCTAACTAGCATATTGTATTAACGGCGTTCCTCACACTGACTTGACTCATTTTGCTCGATGTGTCACAGTCGGGGGTTTATCACTTATCAACAAATATACGTCCATGTTTTCCTGCTGCGCATGTACACGGTCGCTGATGTCTTAAGAAGCGCAGGGCGGGGCTTCATGGCTCGTTCTTCGACGTTCCTATGGGCTTGAATCTGATCGGCCAAGGAGTGAACGAACAAGCCACGTCCTGGGTATCTGACGCTGTTAGCGACTATGCGGAGCGCAAGTTCGTCTGCTTCATTTGCAGCGTTTGCGGTGACGTTAGAAAGACGCCGAGGTCTGATTGGCTCTTACTGTAAGGATAGTGGGTATATAGACCTCAAGGCAGCTAGCAATATTCCCTATCCTTTAATGAGAGCCAATCAGAGTTTGGCATCTTTCTGACGTCACCGCAATTTCTGCAAAAGAAGCAGACGAACTTCCGCTCCGCATAGAAAACGTGTTTACGGCGAAGAACGCTAGTGAATACTCTTAACGCTGTAGAGCGACGAGTTAAGAACGAGAGTTTTTTTTTTTTTTTTGCTGAATATTATTGAATTGCGAGGTTTTTCTTTTCGCCAAACGAGGCTTTAGTGAACAATCTACGAAATCGGAAGCCCCACGGACATGTTTTCGAATGCTGAGGTTTGGCCAGTCCCACCTGGAAGACCGCCTGCGCTTTTCACCCAATCGTCATCGCTAGTGATCCACGCCGCGCCACCCATATAGCGTCATCAAAGCCGTCAGCGCGTTCAATCCGCAGCGTCGTATACGCTAGGGCGCTGACTTCCCAAAGTCGGAAGCGTCTGCCGCTTTGCGGTGACTCCCGTCGAGCTTCGACGTCTTTGTCGCTTAGGGGGGGGGGGCGGGGGGTCTACGAAACGTGAGTATATGCTACAATGCTATTGTTCCATGATGCCCCATATAAAATAAACAGGCCTCGCGAACAAATTGTTCGAATTTGTCAATAAAAAACACACACAGACACACAAAAAAAAACATGTTCGAAAGGTAAACGTGTCAAATACGCGCGTTTAGTTTTTCCATCCCTGGTTGTACACCAATAGAAGTTGCAACGACAAAAATAAAGCTTAAAAAAAAAAAGAAAAAAAAAACTATAGCCGCTACAGTGGCTTGTATGAATCTTTCAAGACGGGCGCAACGCGTAGTTGGCTTTCCTTACCTAAAAACCACTAATATTTTATATTAGTGGTTTTTAGGTAAGGAAAGCCAGCTACGCGTTGCGGCAGGTTTCCATTTTACTCAGAAACACGCGTAAAACTCAAACGTTCTACATTGTGGCCCCATATTCTCGGCCAATGCTCCGTGTACAACTCGCAAAATGCCTTTAAAATTGCAAACCTGCCATTGAAATGAAAGCTTCGAACTGATCCAACCAATCAAATTTCTCCTCCGCGTCACCGAGTGTGCTTCTGGTCCACAGAAGCTCGCGGATGCATCTCTCACGTGGCTCGTAACGCAGAGATCTGATTGCTTGAACAGCAACCTCGCTTCCGTCCCGCTGTCGGCTGCGGGTCCCACAGTGTGCTGCGGTTTGAATACGACTTCCGTATGTCATCTCACAAAACGACCGCGCGAGGCATTGACAGACATCGGCTAAGCCTGCGCAGGCCTGCGGTCCACCTCGCGATGGACCGCAGAAGATGCCACGAGCCATCGAAGCCCATCCAGCGTCATTCGCGGCGTGCAGTCACGTGACACTTCCTACACATGGCTGGATCGGCTGGGATGTCGTCTCGTGGCGTCCGCTCTGGTCCATTGCAAACCGAGACGGAGGGTGGCGCCGCCCCTTGGCGAACCCAGACGTCCGAAGCACGAGCCGACGGATTAGGCGGGTTCCGCCGGCGACGCAAAAAGAACGGGCCTAATTTGTCACCCGGGGTTTAATGTCACGTCTTTCTCGGCGGTCTTCCGCGCCTCGGGATAATCCTCCGTCAGGACGGATTAGCGGGACCCCGCCACCCTACGGCCCTTTGTACAGACCGGAACCCGCGAACAGTCATTGTCCGGAAGCGAGACCGCGCAATCGCGTGCGGGTCTCGCCGACCGACCGACCGCGCTGACAGTCCCTTCTCTTTTGAGTCCCACTGTCCTCCATTGTCCGTTCCCGAGCGTTTCAATGCACGTTACAACTTCAGAATGAGGCTGGTCTGACCAATAGTAACTCGGGGTAAAAGCCGCTCCACAAAAAGACCGATTGTGCGGTGACGGCTTCATTGAATGCTCGCATGTGTGCTACATGCGGAGAAGAAAGAGCACGGCCGAAATTCAAAATGCTTTGCGTTGTCCGACAGCATTCTGCTACGTTATGTAAGTAACGCTTTATTATGCGAGGCTACCGAATTCAACGCAACATTGTAATTTACGTTGTGCAAAGTCCAATAAACTAAAATATCGCGACGCCAAAAACGCTTATACCCTAGTTACACGGGCCGTTTTAACTGCAGTTAAGCTTAACCGCGGTTAGCTTTACCGCAGTTACCCGCTGTTACACGGCAAACCTAACTGTGGTTGGCCGCTAACCGCAGTTAGCGCAAACTGAGCTTGGCAACCTCAGTTAGCGCTCATAACTGACAAGATGGCAGCGCCCGAAGCAGCAGCGAAGTCGCAGCGCTCGAAATCGGCGCAACCGGGCAAGAAGCGCATTAACTGGCCGGTTGCAATCACCGAGGCCCTCATCAGGATTTGGGAGGACAATTTGCAAGCGTTGCGCTCGAATACGAGAAACGCGGCCATCTACGCCGCAATGGCAGAGCAGCTGAACGCCGGGGCCGGGCTTCGGAGTGGCGAAGAACCGTACACGGCAAAGCAAATTCGCCAGAAGCTGGAAAACCTGAACAAACAGTACCGGTGAGTGATGCTTGTGACGATGCACTTCAGACGTTAGCTTTGTTGCGAGACTTGTAATTACGGCGGCGGTCCCGCGTTATCTAGGCTGCTTGACGCACTGGTGCCGGCTCCCTACCTGCCGCAACCACCGGTTCGCGTAGGTCCTGAGTATTTTGTTTCCTCTTAATATATCCAGTCAGGGTTACTAATTATGTTGCACTAGCTCGATAAAATAATGAATTGATAATTTTTGCGCGATTAAATGGAAGTTTTCTGTTCTCAAAGCTACATCCAGTATGGTTGTTGACAAATACATTTTGAAGAGTTTGTTACAGATTTTCAAGCCCTATCACTGCTGGAGCACTAATTTATGCTGCAGCAATATTGCAGACGTTGTTGTTTGCTGTGAGGTTTCGTTCTCTGAAAAGTACTTGTCATATTTCCCATTCCGCATCTGTATTTTTTCTTAAATGTTGATTGAAAACATTGATTCTTTCCAGGAAGCTGAAGCAAAGTGGCACGACCACCGGATCCAAAGGTGTTGAGTGGCCCTTCTACTGGCAACTCCATAATTTCCTGGGGTCCCTGCCCATCAATAATGAGTTCCTGGCGGAGGAAAATGTCGAGGTAAATTGCAACTCCTAGACTAAAAGCAGACGGTGGAAAGAGCTTACTAGTTAGATTATATCTACAGATGCCGTGAACATTGTCTTCAGACCTGAGGATCAGGCTTCAAACCAAGGGGCTCCAAAGGTCCTAATGTCTTCCAACTTTCAAACTTTTCACGTTGACAAATTTTGCTGTTCTCAAGCCTTCGCATTTATTTTGTCGAGAAACTCAATGAGTTTTGAACTGCAACCTCGTTAGTAGGATAGATTTGATAATGTATCAGTCAGGCATGTAACTAACAGGGCCCAGGAGGCCCAAGCGCCCCTGAAACCATCAGTTTTACTGAGACCTCCTCTCTCTCTTCCCCCCCCCCCCCCCAACCTAGACCAAATCCTGGCTACGTGCCTAGTATCAGCCTCAACTGGAGCACACCACCATACGCTTGTTTTAGGGGTGCTGGCCTAGTGGCATTCGGTGCAACTGACTAGCCACGTCACCATACGCTTCTTTTAGGGGTGCTCGCCCAGTGGCAATCGGTGCAACTGATTAGTCCCGTGAAAATGGTTCCAATGCGGTGCGTTGATAGCCGCGTCCCAATAGAGCGACAGATAGCAACAAACAACAGCGACACATGACAACGAGCGACAGACGACACCGACGGACAGCCTGTTTGTGGGAGTCCGCCGTCCCACCTGGCGGACACGACGCAGAACACGGGGGCAAGGAAACTTTTTCCTAGTGGGACTGGAGTTGTCAGCAAAACACTTCAAAATACACAGACAAACAGAATCTGGGGACGCGGTTTTCGTGTTTTGCTCTTTGGGCATAAAACTCGCCGACAAACACGGTTAAAGTGGAGACAATCATTTTATTTCTTGATTAAAGCTTCCGCTTCTCTTTGTTTGCCGTTGGCGACTTTCCGTAAACAGTCATGACAATCGACACCACGCTTTTTCCGAACTAGAAATACCCGAATCGTACCTTTTTTGGGCCGTTCGAGGCATTCTAGGTGAGCGCCACGGAATTTCTTGCTGATTTTGAGGATGTTTATAACTTCATATTCAGATGGTCGAGGTCAGGTGCTCTTTGGTGGACAATACGGCATCCTGATTATCACAGAACGTGACCACAAGTCTCTCATCTGCCGGAATGGCTTGCCGCGAAACGTCATGTCCTATTTCGTGGTGAGCGGTCTTTTTGGTCAGTCCTCGAACATGGGTGTAGCCATCCTGATGCAGGGGCGTAGACTTCGGCGTCTTGATGCACCACTTCGCGCGTCAAGTTTTAGCGAGCAAAACCAGCCACAGCGAATTCCCTTTCGCAACACGATCGCCCGGCACCAGCCAGCAAGCCGCGCCCGCGACCACTACGTGCAATCGAGGGACCGGAACTGCGCGGCCGGGAACGAGGAGTGGCCGCCAAGGGCTTCTTGTTCCGGGAGGAAGGGTAGAAGGGTGGCAAGGGAGGCAACAGAAGGCATAAACGGGCGAGGAGGATAAGTTTGTCTCTGAGAGATGTTCCTCAGTGGGACTGCTTGCTGCGCTTCAAGTCCAACGACAGACAAGAACTCGTCCGTCGTCGATCGTTTGTCGGTGCTTGTCGGCGAATGTCGCGGGTGTTGGTCGTTGCAGTGGGACAGCCTCGGCGACACGGAACTCTGTGGTGTCGCCGGACAAAAACCGGTGTTTGTCGCTCTAGTGGGACGAAGCTATGATGGACTACGGTAGCTCTTCAGATAAGATTTTGTGGAAACATTGCCTTTTCTTATGTTCTAGCGTGTCTTTGTGCTGTGCCCTGCATTACACCACTTGTCTCTAAAATGAAATAATAGAACCATTCCAATCGTTGCATTGTTCACCACAGCATGCTTAACATACCAGGTGTTTTTTTTTTATTTGCACCATATTTTCAGATAAAGAGCAGCAATATGTAGGTGGGACTGCCCCAAAAGAGCTAGGAAAGGTGCAGATTAGTTCTTATTTGCTTCAAGCCTGCCCAGCAGTCCAGGAACAAGGATAAGTTGTGTGAAGAACGAGAACCAACCCACAATCGCCGCCTCTGTGGGAAGCAGAGACAAGTGATTTGATAGACCTGCTGTTGCAAAATTATTGATTATTATTCCATCACACATGGACGCTACAAACTACTGGGATTGCTTTTTGAGCGGCTTCACATTAAAACTACAACGGCTCCTAAATCATGTAGTCACAATGGTAGCACTGCTACTCTGCAGGCCTACAAGTACCTGTTAGTTTATAGGGTATATGAGGTATGGGTATGAGGTCAGACAGAAGCGTCTGACCAGACATAGTGAGTCGGGAGTGGCCTCCAGTTACAACAGTCGATAACCCTGTACCTGCAGTTTACCCTGAGCCAATGCTCAGGGTAAACTGCAGGTACAGGGTTATTGACTGTTGTAACTGGAGGCCACTGCCGACTCACTATGCCAGGTCAGACGCTTCTGTCGCGTCCGATGGATTGTGCAGCCCTTAGTTGCCATAACACCTGATATTAGCACTCTTTTGCAGGCGGTCGTAGCGCAGGCGGTCGTAGCGCTAAACCAGAATTTAGCCTTCATGCTACAGCACCTACACAGTATACATTGCTAGAAGTCAAATTTGGGGGTTTTACGTGCCAAACCAACGACGGGCATCTGGCACGCCCCAGCGGAGGACTGAGGGTTAATTTGGACCACCTGCGGATCTTTTTGACGTGCAACCGAAAGCTCGGTTACACGGCGCCTTCTCCGCAATAAGCCTCCGTCAGATTGCGGGCATCTCGGCCGGGATTCGAAACCGCCACATGGGGATCCGTAGGCCAGCGCTCTTGCCTCGGAGCCACCGAGGCGGCGTATACATTGCTGCATGCCACACCATTCCCTCAACATATAATATTAAGGGGACTCCAACCTATGCTAGAAACAATGCATGACAGTAACTTTTCGTTTTATGGGACGCCACGGCTCTTGCCCATGCCCCATTGCTTTTGTACAGCGCTGTTATACGCCTTCTTTCCGGGTGCTGAATTACAACCCAAGGTACAGACTGTATGGTTCAAATCGCTAGCCAGCTTTTAACTGGCTCGTGCTGGTGCTGGTGGCCTGTAACGTTGGCTCTGGTCCAGTGTAGTGTGAGGCAAAGCATAGCTGGGTGCACTATTTTGAAAAAGTTAGGTTGGTATACAGTATGCAGGCCACAGATTGTGCAGTTAGGATGCTCGGGTCAAGCTGCAGCCGGGATTGAGTTGTGTTAGGAGAAATTTTGTTGTGGCGCGATATCGACGTGTTGTCTTCGCTGTTTTGTCATACACAGGTGCCACTAGTTGATGAGATTGCAGATGATGCCGAGGGGGTTGTCTCGTGGGACCAGGACGACGACAACGACGATATGCCTCACGAGGACTGCACCATGCCTGGAAGTGGCAATGAATCTGCGCTGGCTCATTCCCCAAGCTCGCAGAGTGTGGGCCTGACTGATGGTGCAAGCCCCAGCAGCAGCTACTTAACCACTAGTGGCAGCAGTGGCAGCAGCGGTACAAGTACTACCTCTGCCACGAGGCAAAACAAAAGCCGCAAGCGGCCAGCTGCCTCCCTTATGCAGCAGCTCCTCACCATGCATTCCGAAGAGACAGAACGAGCTGCAAAAATGGAGAAAAAAAGGCTGAAGAGGCAGAAGGAGCTGCTGTGGCTGCAAAAAGAGTCAAACGATATGCAGGCTAGCATGCTTCGAATGATGAAAGCATACTTTGAATCGAAAAAAAATAAAAAGTAGGGCTATGTTGCCAAAGGGTCGCAAGACAAGCTAAACTTTTGGGACTATAACGAATGGGATTTCTGATGCTAAAGCTTGCGCCCACTCTCATGCAGCACTTGTTGAAGCTTGCGGTTGGTGCGCAGCCGTCAGGAGCAGACGAACGCTCATGATTGTAGCGCCTTTTGCTGTTCCTGCAGACTTGGGGAAAACTGGGATAACGAAAATATCCTTGTTTTTTTAAGGTTATGGCAATGACTCAATTTGATGGATGAAAGGTGTACAAACATTCTTGTGGGAAAGCTGGGTGGCTATGAAGTTCTCATTACTCTTGGAACATCAGGTTTTCTGATGGCAATACACGAGGGATGCATTAATAGCAGCTACTGAGTGTTTGTTTGGTCCACAGGCTGACATATTTAGCACGGATAAACAACACTCTTCCACATGAGGCCACAACGTAACTGCACCCAATGGGTCGTCTCCATTGTATCTTGACAAGAATGTCGTTAAAACTGGTCGTAGAATCAGTGAAACGCACCTTAAAAAATATTTGTCGTTTGTCGTATCAAGTGCACCTTGACTGTAGTGCAAGAGCAGGTCAGCAGTTGTAGGAACCCATCTTGACAGTGGTCTGCCCTGCTGACGCAATTCTTTACATTGATTCGTTTGTAATAAACTTTCTCTCGAATCGAGACGCCCCTGGTGCCTTGATTCAGTGAGAAGGTTCCACGAAATGAATTCTGGATACCAGTTGGCACCTTAGTTTCGGTTTCAGTTTCAGATATTTGCCATAATTATTGTGTCCTGACGAAACTTGCTGCTTGTGTTTTCGCGGCTGAGGCATTTTGCACGAGTGCAATACTGTATGCGTTTCCAAGCAATTTTAAAAAGCGCTGGCCACTGCATTACTGGTTCCCAGCTTGCCAGATTTTGGGCAAAAGTAAGCAAACTTAAAACACTGAAGTACAAGCGTCCCGGCTTGCCGGCCTTGGTCAGTCATAACGACGGACAGACATTCAAAGCAAGCCACCCAGCCACTGACAAAGGCCTTGGCGATGGTGTCTGCTCTAGTGTTGGGAATCTGGACGGCTCCTGGCCACCGTGTATACCAATCTATGCAGGTGAGCAAATAGGTTGATCTTTGAGATGGTGATAGGGACCCCACTATGTCCGTGAGCACATGCTTAAAACATGCGTTAAGCAGCGGGAGTGACTGAAGCAGCACACTTATGTGTCAGTCTACGCACATTGGCACTAAACAAATCTGCAAGTCCTGAGATGAACATCGGCATTGATTGTGGGTCAGGCGTAATGCTCAAGAGCCGCTGCATTGCTCGGATGCCAGGGTGGCTTGAATTGTGAAGGAGGTGAAACAGTGCACTTGTAATTAGATTGTACATATGTTCGGGGAATGTTACATGTGCTGCTGTTAATGAAATATGCATGCAGAGTTGGACAAGCCGCAATAATCACGACTTTGAAAAGCAGCCAAACCAAAAACCTTGTACCAAGAATAATTCAGATCTCTATTATGCTTTGAATATATCTGAGACTCCCCAGATCATTTCCTTTATGCATGTTCTTTCGTCCCAGTTTGAGTGTTGAGCATGTCAGGTAATGCTACAATGATCACAATGTGGAAATATACTCAAGTCATTAAAAAAAAGTATATTCATTCACAAAAAAATCAAGTCGCAAAGTCAGGATTTCCTCGGAACACTTTAAGATTTAGATTTAGACCTACCTTGGTTCCAAAGCGGCCACGCTTTGCTGTGGCCGCTTTGGAACCAAGGTAGAGAGAGTAGTGCGGCTGCGTTTCTGCTCTGCTCTCTGCACCTTGGTTCTAGGAGCGGCAACCACGTAGCATCACGGTAGGCTCCAATGATACTTGCCGCACGCTCAGATATTCCCTCTCATACAGTTCGCGATAGTACCATCTCAAACAGCACAACACAGCAGGGCCGCACAGGCACAGAAGCCAGCCATACCAAACTGTTCAGTTTGCGGAAAAGTATTTCGCAAGGGCGTTCCTAACTTCCACTCCTGATGGCTCCTCCACGCTGGTGAAGCGGACTGGCTGGGGCCGGTTCTTGTCGTCGCTCTGCACCGTGTCGAGCCAGTTCTCTCACAGCGATCATTTAGCTGCTCACATATGTTGTGGAGCACGCAGCACGCGAGAACAATGGTGTTCACACTCTCGATGTCTGATTCCAGTCCCTTGTGAAGGATTCGAAACCGCGCCTTGGATTCGAAACCGCGCCTTGAGCCGACCACATGCGTTCTCTACGACTCTCCTGGTACTGGAGAGACGGTAGTTAAAAGCCCGTGTGGGGGACCCAACACTACCAGGCTGCGGGAAGGGTTTCATCATGTGGCACTGCAGAGGGAAAGCCTGATCTGCGAGAAGGACAGGGCCAACAGAGATCACTTCAAAGGTTTTGGCTTCTGACTGAAACAGATCGCCAGCCAGGACGCCCGGAAGCCGTGAGCGCTGGAATACAGCCGAGTCGTGATTCCTCCCAGGTTATCCAACGTTTGTGTACAGGAACCTGTATGCGTGGTCGGCTACAGCCAAAAGAATGGTGGAATACCACCCCTTATAATAGTCTGAGGCATGATCCTTCGGAGGGCACACCTCGAGGTGGCAGCCGTCCAAGGCGCCCACCCCTTGAGGGAAGCCTGGAACTGCTGCAAATTGGCGCAGGTGTTCAGCCATGTCATTGGGTCGAGGGAACTTGACAAACCGTGGTTCAATGCGCTGCACCAGAACTCCACAAAATTCTCTGAAAATTATGTTGACGGATGACCGGCTGACGCCGAAAAGATTTGCGACGGTTCTGTCTTCTGCCGAGGTCGCCAGGCGATACAAGGCAATAGCCACAGGCTTCTCCAGAGGGATAGCTTGACGCATGTTGGTGTTGTTTCGTCTCATACACTCGCATACGCTTACTACGTACCGGAAGGTGCTGCGGTCTAGACGGAAGTTCTCCCTAAACGTGCTCTCAGGAAAGTATGGGAGCGTTGTCTCGTACCAAGACCTGGCACTGGCATACGCCCACACATGCCGCTCGCGGGAGCAGAGTCGCGCAGCCGCTAGCACAAGCCGGTTGCGCCGTCTCTCAGCGCGTTTCTGCTCTGAGAGCAGTTCGTCGATCTCGGCGAGTACACTTTGCTCCAGCATACGTCGCCGTTGAAGCACGGCTTGATGAGCGGCGAACATCGACCAGAAGTTGCATTCGTCCTCATCGTCCAGCACAGGATTGTTGAGGGTGCTCAACGCCATTCCACGTTACGGCGTGCAGATGCAAACCTCACTGACGGAGGGGAATACAATACACAGCAACGTGGCTCCGACGAAGATACGAAGCACGTGAGACCAAAGCGACAGAAACAAAGCCGGTCAATGGTCAACCTGAGCTACCCTACCTGAGCGAACCGGAAGCCGGAAGCGATGGATTGTTTCGGCTGTCGTGTCGGCTAACCAATTTAAAGCAGTCGATCACTACCAGTGTTAGCAGGCTGACTTTGTATTTTACCGACAGCTGAACAGCTAAACGAACATATTTGACCACGAACTGTCTTAAATAACCACAAACTGATTATAACTTGAATCAACTTTTGAAACTAATGTATTTTTTTTTTTTTTTTAAAGTTCAGTCGCATAAATTATGGGTATATCTTCGCCTGGACGGCAACCACGTGATCGTCCACATAGGCTGACTGAGAAGAGGACTTCCGTGTAACACCCGCGCACCGCGGTTACCGCGGTAACTGCAGTTAGCGCCCGTAACCATAGTTTGCCGTAACTGCAGTTAAGGGTGCCCGTGTAACGAGGGTATTAGTCTGTTTTGTTGAACGACACATCTAGTTAAATTTCCAACTATACAACGGTCTAAAGCCACTAAATACGCTACACTTCCACAACCCTTCATTCCTCGAGTCCTTGTTGGCACGGCCATTTTAAGAACTGGCGCGATTTACAATAGTTACATTTCAAAAATTTTACTTGTTGGACATTGATACGCTCTCGGGAAGCTCAGGCAATAACGTATTGCTTTGACGTGAATTGTTCTAGAATTTCCGGTAAGTAGAATAGCGTTTAAATTTCACATCACGGTTCATATTACTTAAAGCCACAATACGTGAAGCACCAATATGGCTGGAATGTGGCAACTCTCCAGCGTAGTTCATTGACTGGACCCGGTGAGCAGGAGACGGACTCCAAGCTGTGCTACAGATAAGGACAGTCATAGGCTGTCATGCGTATTCACTTATCAATCAATCAATCAATCAATCCTTTTATTGCATCTTTCAATTCAAAACAATTATGTTTTCAATAAAGTAGTTGTACAAGGTAGTAAAACATACAACGAGACTGACCTTGATTTTGGTAGGCAATTCCTCGTTTTTGTGAGAAAAGAATCGCCCATAAAGGGGTATTCACGCGAGGAAGAAACCCCGGGGATTTATCCCCGGCACCCGTATCTCACGACGGAAACATCAGGCTTTGCCATGTGCAAAAGCCTTGCGTTTTCGTCTCGTGATGCGCGCGCGCCGGGTAGAAGTCCTCGGGATTTCTCCCTCGTGTGAATACCCCTATGCGGATAGCGTGCCTGGCTGAAAGTAGTTTTTAGAACTTTGGCGAATAAGGTAAAACGCATAACTAAAAAGGGGAAGGACATCTCGTTTTTTTTTTTAAGAAAATGAAGTGTTGAAATATATTTTCAGCGGCAACGAATTAGGATGTTTGTGGAAATGACACCTTCATTTATTATCACACCGCTTTCAGTGAAGACTGAGCGGCGTCCCCAGTCTTTGTGACATTATAAAAATGTTCGTAGTCACTATAACCGAGACGAACAATGTTACGGCCTGTTAACACATACAGCGGAGCGCTAAGTTAGCGCTACGGGAGCGCTTCAAGAAGCGCTAATGTGGCGCTTCCTAGCGCGTGACTTAGTTCTAACATAGCGCGCGATTAGCGCTTCTGTAGCTCCTTGTTAGCGCTCCAGTAGCGCCTTGTTAGCGCTCCAGTAGTGCCTTGTTAGCGCTCCGGCAGCGCCGTGTTTGCGCTTCAGTAGCGCTTCTTGTACCGCGGTGCTGCGGATTAGTGCGTGCACTGCAGTTCCGGTTCCTGTGATTGAGTGTTCTTCATCAGCACCATGGCGGACATGTGGGATGCTGAAATAGAAATGCGACAAATTCTCTTACATACGCGATTAGTGCATATGTCTGTGGACGGATTAACGCCCAGAAGAGCCTTCTGGGTGAGCGAAATCTTTTGCCACCAAGATACCGACGGGTACCCGGCGAACCTTGTTCCCAAGCTGAGGGACCGAGACTCATAGCTCTTTCGAAGGCGATTATTTTTAACTGCGTCTCTTTGAAACCAGGGTCACGCATATTGAATAGAAAGCGATGAGGTCGTACCCATTCAATTAGTCGCTCAGAGTCCATGACTCTGGATCGCTTGCCCGACCCTTTGCTTGCAGAGCGGCTGTTTTGCTTCCTCTTCTTTCAGTGTCAAAGGAAAAACAACAACAAAGGAATCGCCGTGCACGCGCTGTTCCGCAGCAGCAAGCACGGCGCAAGGAGTGTGAGAGCGCTAACAAAGTGCTTCTGTAGCGCTAACAGAGCGCTAACAAAGCGCTTCTGAAGCGCTAACAGAGCGTTACTGAAGCGCTAACCGAGCGCTACTGAAGCGCTAACCGAGCGCTACATCACGCGCTAGGAAGCGCCACATGAGCGCTCCTTCGAGCGCTCACGTAGCGCTAACTTAGCGCTTCGCTGTATGTGTGAACCGGCCTTTAAAGGGAAGGTGAAGCATAATTCAAGAAAGCTGAGGTAGGAGCGGACTTCTGTAGCTTTTTATCCCGTGAATTCATTTATCGCACTTACCTCGGGCAGAAGAAAACGTAAACCGCACGCATTTCTTTAAAAAAATACCCACCGCGATTGCCGCCGGGCATGCGGTGATCCTCTCTGCCAACTGTTATCTGTCCAGTGTGTCGTGGCGTCATCGATGGCATCCCATAGACAGCTTAGTTGCGAGCAAGGATCATCTGACCCCGCTGGTGACGTCACTTTTGCTAATTTGTCTCCCCGCTCTCGCGTTTTTCTACCCTCGACGCGCCGCAACGGGCTGGTCGACGAGAAATATTCATTTGCTATTAGGACGCTTTACTAAAAAAATCTAAGTGAAACTTAAGGAAAAATTTTCAGGGTGTCTACATTACAACTCGTACTGTTTTCTCTAATCCAATGTCCTCTTTAGCTCACCTTTAACTCCTCTCTGCGCACTTACTGCCTCGAGCTTCTCGAAGAGGCACATAATCCCTTGGTGTCCTCCCCTCCCCGTCTTCGAATGCAAAGAAAGAACAAAGGGACTAGAAAAGAGGGTAAAGTTATGCCACACCAGCTTGCCCACACCTTGATCATTTTCTACGGAAATGCCCACGATGCCTTCTTTACATTGTTCCTACGGTTTGCAGAAAAAGAAATATAAACACGATTCAAGGAGCGTGGCGTTATCGGAAAGGCTTTGAGCAACTAAACAATGCCAAGCATTTTTTGTTTGATTATCAATACGCATGACATCTTGACTGCGGTCAAATTTACCAATATAAATATTTCTCTTTTTCTTTGGGGTTAGTGGCGATATTTTATTTCATTAGAAATTTCCGAGTTCTTTTTCTGTAAATAAAACTTTTACGATTTACAACAAAGAAGTTACGTCAATATGTAAGCAAATTACTTTACAATTACTCTAACATATATGTAAATATTCCGTTCCCAAATTACTGATAAATGTAAGAGATTACAAGTAATTTCGTTACTTGTAACGATTAGGTTTAAGTGTACACGACACTCGCCCAATACAGCAAGCCCAATACAGCAGACCATTTTAAACATATTTTAATTTTTCATTTTCTTCGCCTATTCTACTTTAGGTGGGCATTCATCCCAAAGAAAGACATGCTGTGGAACATGATCAGAAAAGGCGATGAAGCGTCCCTACCAGACTTGAGCCTGTCTCAAGTACTCAACTGAAGATGCCGTATTCACTGTTTATAAGCGTGGCCGTCGTGTCCGCTTGCCCGCAAAGCACATATACAGTCAACCATCGCGTTGTGCATAAATAACATAGCGAATAACTAGATCAAGAAAACGAATCTCCATACAAATGCAACCTTCACAGATGGTATCTTCGCGCGAAGACGTCATCTTTGTCCTGTGAACAGCTGAAATCATGCTGTCGATCACGGTGATTGGCAATCCGCGTGCTCTGCGGAACAGCGAACCTTGAGGTTTCCTTCATAAAGAGAGCGGCTATTACTCCAGTAAATACGGTACTGTATTTCATATACTTTTTGAAGTATCTTGGTATCTTGCAAGTACTTTTGATCGAGAGTATTGGTTACTGTATTTCAATTACATTTCTGAGTAACTTCTAGTTCTTATCTTAAATACATTTCTAACATTCTGCCATTTTCTGAGTTTTCGGCATGAAGTGGCGTGGGCATGGCACGAGCAAACTTGAACATTAATTCGAGCAACCAAATCCTCTTGCTAGCTCGGATAAGATATGATGATCTAGACTGAGCTCGTGAAAACATCGCTTATGTGCCGATTGTGACTCATATTTCACTCCAAATTTCGTACAATGAAAGCTTTCCCCATCGCCTTCCCAATGGCGCCTTTTTTTTCTTAGGGTTTTCCCTTAAAAATCCTCAAACAAAAGGGGTGGTTTTACGGAAGTAAAGATTGCCACACTGAGGCGCAACGCAGACCGGAAAACGACCTACGACAACAATACAGACTTGAGTGTCAAGAAAATAACAAATAGAAAAAAAGGTGAAGTAAACACAAAAAGAAGTAACTTTTTTTATTGTATATTTGATTCCGCTACTGCAAAACGTCGAGGTTACCTTTTGTTTCTTCTTTTTTTTTGTCAGGGGCACTTATTTCTCTCCCGAACACAGTCTGTAAGCAGAGAACAGGACAGGAAACGAACTGCGAGCAGGATTACCTCTCAAATTGCCAACAAAATGTGTCCCAGCGTTGAGTGTCTTTTTCTGAACGCAATCTCATAGAAGAAGGTGCGACGAGTGCCATGACTATTATGTGGGCTCTCTTCGTTATCCATTCACTCATATCCGTGTCCGAAGTTCGTTTATTGCTAACTCCCTATATAGGGAATAGGGATTGTAGTTAAACGATGCGCCTAAGGTCCGCCACAGGACGTGATATTCAGCGACGTCACAATTTCCAACTTTCAGCCAT